TGTTCATAAGAAATTTAACCAGCTCTTATTTTGTAGGATGGCACTAATTTAACTGAAATGAAACCCATTTTGGATTTATGCAAAACCTTAGGATTAATAGTGCCTTCAAATATATTAATATAATTTTCCCCTGTTGAGTAGAATAGTTTTAATTAAACTTTACTAACCCCTTTGGTTTAATCCCTGGAGCTGACCTATAAAACACTAGAGGTTTTAAATCAAACCATAAAAATGTTCAAAGCTGAAAGTTAAAGTGATAGCCATGAGGGGTGGGAGGACAAAAAAGGATTTACAAAATGTCTAGTAAACTAGCAATACCTTATGCAAGATATATCTATACATCTATCATATACAATGATATACATTGACATATACATAATATTAAATAGTAATCATTGGGGAAAAGGTAATTGTGGTTTATAAAAAATATTTTAAATATTTAAAGGCATCAGGGTCTCTATAGCAACCAGTTTTTTTTTTCCTCTCTAAGAGTCATTGGTATGCCAAACATGAATGAGAGGACCTGCAGATTTATAATTTAACCTAGGATAAAATGACCAGAGCAAGATGATTTTATTAATTACACTGGTAATAAATTACATTGTAGTGTTTTATTTTGAACTTCATAAGGGCTATGAGAATATCTAGAAGAAAGTTAGGCATTCTCCTCCCTCACCCAGCCTGCTTGCTTCCCCTCTTCCTGAAATAATCACTGAATAGATAAATAAACAAGTGAAATCAAACCAAAACAAAACCACTCTATAATTCTTTGAGCAACGCTTCATAAATTTTCCCACCCAAGTATTCCTAATGGAAGAGAAGATTGAACACATGCCCCTAGGGATCTACTGCTAGTTTGAAGTTTCTTTGAAGTCATCTGTTTTATTTTAAAAATTCATGTGGATTTTGCATCCTACTCCATAATATAGATCTGTTTTAATGTAAAAATTATTTGTTTTCCCCAATATCTTTGCATTGCAGGGCTCTAGGAAAATAGACTAAGTTTACACCACAGGTTTGCATCTTCCAGGACCCACATAACTTTAGATGTTTAGCTTTATAAGGGATAAAGGCAATTATAAAATACACTTTTTCCATGGATCTCATATTTTTACTTCAGTTTTCCTTTTACTTCCATGTAATTTTTTTTTCTTTGCCAGTTAATTTGAGGCCTATGCCTTTAGGACTGAACTGAAATAAATGTCTAGTATTTGCTATACCAGACAGGAAAGATCCTTACTCTATCAAAATAAGAACTCAGGTTCTAATAATTCAAAAACATAGAAATAAGAGAGTAGTCGTCATGCAATTTTCTTCACATATTAGTTATACAATTCAATCATTAACTAAATTAGTTTCATCTTATCTATAGCCCTTCAGTTTTAAAAAAAATACTGTTTTTGGTTTTGTTTGTGAAGATGATCATTAGTCCATCATGGAATAAAATGAACTATATAGTACTGATCTCTTTTTATTTTTGCTGGTGGACTGTGAAAATATATATATATATATATACACACAGTATATGCTATACACAGTACTAAAAGTAAGAGAATGAGATTCAGACAGGACTGAAATGTGCATTAAGCAAACAAGATAAATTAGACTCAAATACCAAGGAAATGTATTTAACTATAAATAAATGGGAACTGGCTTGACCTTTTACCATGTTTTGGTTTTTTCGTTTGTTTGTTTTCCCTGCAGACTAAATTCAAAAGTATTTTCTCCTAAGGTTTTAGTAGCAAAATACTCAGAAGAAAATAAAAGGAAATAGATTCTGAACAGTGATATGACAAATGATAGTCAGTTGTCTTAGAGAACTGGGCAGCTGAGATTTCCAGGCATGAGATGCAGCATGAAATCATACACAGAGAGGGGAATGAAAACGGCTCCAGAGAAAATATGCCTGGGCACACTGAAATGAAAACTAGGAGAAAATGAAAGAGGGATGCAAGCAGGCAGAATGCGCTTAAGAACTTTTTGAGTTGAGAACTCTGAGTCAGAATTTCATAGGGAAAGAAAAAGAACTAGTGAAAATAACTTGAGAATGGGGATTGCTGCGGCCCAAACAGTGAGATAGGAAGAAGCTTTCTGGTAACAGTCTTTTGAATAAACTGGCAGGCAGAATACATAAAAGCAGAAATAATCAAAATACAACAGAGAGATTTTGCTTTTGGAATGGATTGTGAGAAAGAAGTTGGTTATATTGTAAGAGAAAAATATGAAAAGATTTATCAAAAGCCCAGACACAAGAAACAAATAGAACTGAATATACTACATATTTAGCTGAGAATAGAGGAACTATAGGTACCCTTATGATTATGATCATTCCCTTCTAAAAAGGCAAGGGCGACGGCTATAATATTTAGAGTAGTACATCAATTACTACCACTACTACTACTAATTACTATAATAAAGATAGCGGTATAGCAACAACTGGGTAATTACTATGTGCCAAGCCTGTCAGTACGTACTTTGAACATGGTAATTCATTTCATCTTATTGTCACTATCATTTCCATTTTATAGATGAGGAAACAAAAACTTGAAAGTTTTAATTACTAGTTCAACATTACAGAACTGATAAGTGATAGAGCAAGGAGTAGAACTTTATAAAATCTAACTCAAAAAGCTGTGCTCTCTAGGGTACCTTCATCAATAGCAGTTGCTAAAAGTGTGTATGATATGATATAGACATAGACATAGATATAGATAAATAAGTATCCTATCTAATAGTAGACAAACATGGTAATTGACCGTACCTTTGCTATGCCTCCCATTGGCTAATCAGCATGATATGCAAATTAATCGCCAACAAAGATGGCGGCAAATTTGCATACTGCAGGCAGGGCGGGACAGCACCATCCCGCTTGCCCTGCCGCCATCTGGGCCTGCTATCTGAGATCCTTGGTGGGGGGGGGGGGTCCTGTATGCGACCAGATGGGGCAGCAGCGATCCGCCGGCCCACCGGGCATCCAGTGTGCGACCCGGGGTGGGGCCCCAACCCCTGGATCAGCCCTGCTGAGTGTGCGACCCAGGGCGGCGCCACAACCCCCCAATTGGCCCTGCCCTGCGCACAACTGGGGGCGGCGCACCAACCCCCAGATCAGCCCTGCCCTGTGCGGGACCTGGGGCGGTGCCCCAACCCCCTGATTGTCCCTGCCCTGTGCACGACCTGGCGGGGCAGGCACCTAGGAATCGGCCTGCCATCTGCCACCCGGGGAGCGGGTCTAAGCCAGCAGGTGGTTATCTCCTGAGGGATCCCAGACTGTGAGAGGGCACAAGTGGGGCTGAGGGACACCCCCCACCCCCCACCCCCGCCAGTGCACAAATTTTTGTGCACCGGGCCTCTAGTTTAGATATAACAATGAAAGCTGATATAAACTCAATCAGATTTCTTTAGAGTTGTTACAGATTATTTTGGATAAAGATATGTTTATCAGTTATATTCATGAAAAGTGTCCTTAAATGTAAGAATTAAAAATCACCATTGTAAAACTGACAGATCATTTTATTTTATTTAAAAATATACTTGATATGCTTCCTCCCAAAATCTTTCTGAAATTGATCTACATGTTAAAGGAATAAAATTTAGGAAAAATTCTGATAAAGGGCAATAAAAATTAAGAATAGTCCTGAAATGATATAATTTCAGAATTGATCTTTTTTTATGACATTTCTCATGTTTCAAATTATAATATAAATTTTATAAATATTGATATTATTCTACATTAGTTATATGTTAGTAAATATGCCTCTAGTTACGAAGGTGTGTTTTTAGGTTTTTTACAATATTTTTATTCATTTCAGAGAGAAAGGGAGAGGGAGAGATAGAAACATTAATGATGAGAGAAAATCATTGATTGGCTGTATCCTGCACACCCCACATTGGGGATGGAGCCTGCATCCCAGGCATGTACCCTGACTGGGAATCAAAGCATGATCTCCTAGTTCATAGGTTGACACCCAACCACTGAGCCACTTGGGTCGGGCACAAAGGTGTGCTTTTAAATTCAAGGACCAAGATATAGAAATTCTTTAGAAAAGCAATTTCCAGAAAGTTGCTATTAAAGTTGTAGTGAGTAAAATTTTCCATCATATTATAAAGTTTTTTTTTTATAAAAAGGAAAGCAAATAAATAGTACTATGGAGTCATCATTTGTCTCCTAGTGTTATTCTGTTCCTTGGACCACAAAATGCAACACAGTGGATTAAAGAAATATGTTGCCCTGGCCAGGTACTCAGTGGTTAGGGTATCAGCCCACACACTGAAGGGTTGTGGGTTCATTTCTTTCTCAAGGGCACACACCTGAGTTGCAGGTTTGATCCCTGGTTTGGTCAGAAAGTGTGCAGGAGGCAACCAATCCATGTCTCACATCAATGTTTCTCTCTCTCTCTCCTATCCTTCCCTCCCGTCTACTCTCTCTAAAAATCAATGAAAAAAAATCTTCTAGTGATGATTAACAAGAATAAAAAAATCAACATTAGACATTAATTAAAGCAATTTTAAAAATAAAAGTTAAAAAAAGAAATATGTTGAGGGTTTGATTGATAATACCAGACCAGCAGAGATGACCATTGAATAATATTACACAAAAAAGATTTTGAGCTTTATAGACACACGTTTTCCCCCTTCAAATGACAATAACTGGTTTATATGGATTGTAATAAACTTGGGAAATGTACATGCTTTTGTTCCCTTACTGAAAATCCTCAGAGTTATAGAGAAATGTATTTACAACAGTGCAATTTGAAATATACGATTTATGAGGGACAATGTACTTCTCCACATATATACTCTCACCTTCAAAAATGTTTCCTGCTCTAGCAGGTTTGGCTCAGTGGATAGAGCATTGGCCTGCAGACCAAAGGGTCCTGGGTTCGATTCTGGTCGAGGGCACGTACATCCGTTGCAGGTTAATGTTTATAGATTATTTAATCCTATCATTTAAAATATAATACTTAACAAGGAGTAGTCTCAACGCAGTTAAAATCAATTACCTTTGCTTGCACTTTCTATATGTTCCAGTTCTTCAGGAAATTTCAGGATATCCCGGTATTTTTCTTCACAAATTTCAGCAATAAAATGCAAGAGGGTTGTTTTTTGATCTGCTGATTTAGTATCTCTTATCTGGAATGAAAAAAACAAAAATATTAGTATTTTTTTAGTAACAAATACAAATTTTTTTCTTAAATAAGTGGAATGAATAAACTCAATTCATCATGACTAATTAAAAAATAAGTTTGGGGTAGGTTCCAGTAGGGTCTAATAATAATGCTCTGAATTTTAAAATGACCTTCCCCCCATTTTAAAAGCAAGAAAGATGACAAAAAATGAAAAATTAAATGTGAATCTATTTTTAAAGTGTATAAATTATCATGGTAAAATGAATGATTCTTTTCATGAGAAAACAACTTTCATTCAAATATTAATAATAGAAACCCAAGTTAATGTGTGCTTATGTTATCAGCATTCTGTTCTTCGATTTATCACAGAAATATATTCTGGAAAGTAAGTTTCCTTTGTGGAGTTATATTTATTTCTAGCCATCATTGATGCAAATTAATGTAAAAGAGTAAACACATTTTACCCTCCTTTACTTGCATGGGCCATCAAAAAAGAATAACTGACAACTTCTTATGCAGATTTATAAACAGAATCTGAGCACGCAATCATGGTAATATGACAAAGTTTATTTGTATGCTTACATATTATATTTCCTTTGTAGAGACACTAGGAAAGAGATGCTACAGTTAGAATCATAAAAATCTTTAAAGTATAAAATAAAAAAATCTATGATGAGAATCTAAGTGTTTTCCTTAATATAACTCTCATACTAGACTAAGCTGCAAATGAAATCAAGGATTTACTGAAAAACAAAGGATAAATATGGCATAAAGTATCAAGTTTTCTCATTCTGTTGGATGTTTTAATTCTATAATCCTTAGATGATGGATTTGTCTACTGATGTTCATACTGATTCGGGGTTTTTCGCTTTAAGGATTACTCTGTTTCAAATAAAAGAGTATTCTTCACAAACAGGTTTATAAAAAGGCTGTGGGGGATATTTAGCTAACTACAGAGGAATTTCATCTTACTGTTTTAGTGACTTAGACCAAAAAAAATTGCATTTGGACAATCAGTCCATATTGAATCTCTTTTGTGCTACAGATTTTAAACAACTGTTTACAGCCCAATGACATAAAAAACTTCAAAGAAATATTACTCTCAAGGCTCAAAAGAAACAGTCACAGGAGGCATGATGTTGAAATTTCAAGTGGTCACAATTATTTCTTTTATAATTTCTAGGATTACCTTATCCCAGGTAGGTAAAATATGTAAAACTTGGCATTATTAGTTTGATTCACCAAACACTTTAAAGCACCACAAGGTTGAAATGACACAATTCAAGGACAAGCTATAAGAACAAAAAGCACCAAAAACCTCAAGGGCAATCTGTCTTAAGTAAGGCTTGTGGCTGTATTGGAATCAATGGGAAGCTCTCTTTCCTAAGGAGAGGTCTCTACCTGGGATTATAGTGTTACATGTTCACGAAGTGTATCATTTTCAGAGGATGCTGGATATTCCAACTAATAAGAAAATTAGCATTTACTTTTTTCACACAAATTACCTGAATTCCTAAATCCTAAAATCCTAAAAGTTAGAGAAAATGAAGGTACATCTTCCGAAGGGAAAGGAAATTAATCTATATTTTATGAATTTTGTGATGAAACACACACACACACACACACACACACACACACGCAAAACAACAAAAACCCACCCAATTTTTCAGGACACCAAATTGTACAAGTATATTATATTTTTTAAATGCACATGGCCAACACTAGAAAGTAAAACATAAAAATAAAAAAAGAGCATTGCGCTCATATGTCAATTTTATGGATGACTGAAAACTTCAGCTGCTGACATGAATACTTATACATGCTTAACTTTCAAAAACTTTTTAATTGGTAACTATTCATTCAGAATCAGGTCCATTAATTTTATTTCTGTTAAGAAATTTAGTAGAATCAATGGTTATATTTTAAAAAGATAGAGCATAATATTTCAGTTAAATAAATATCTTGGTATCTTTGTCAAAATCAGAAAGAGTTGTAGACAGAATATGCATGTACTTTTTATTTTTATTTTATTTTATTGTATTAACTATTGGCCCAGTGCATGGATCCATGCACATTGAAAGGAAATTAATTAGAAGAAATATTTTAATATCGCTATTTGCCCTTTCTCTATAATAGAAGTGTCAACCAAATTCACAGTAGAAAATGACAGATCGAGACACATGCGTGCGAGTGGCGCCAGCAAAAGCTTTATATGTATAACACATAAGCGAGTCAACTTAGCCTTTTATAGATATGGAATAAACTTGCTTAATTAGACCAGCTTTCTGATGTAGCTAAACTTTTTCCAGCCAAGTGAAGCCCCACAACTTCTCTTTTAGGTAAATGTCAGCAACACAGCAGTAAATATCAACATCAAGCAGATTATTATTGTAGATCACACATGGAGAACAAAGGATAAATTATTTAACTGCAGCAGTGTTTGACTATATTCTGCACAGTGAGAAAACCTGAAGTCATTTTTAAGGTCCACCATTTCTTACTTCTTTTCAGTCGGGTCAAGTTTCTAAACTTTCTAAATCTCCATGTTCCGGCTAATGAAAAGAAAATAGGATTCTACTGAGTCTCCTATCTACCTACTCCAGGACTTCTGTGAGGATGAAATGAGATGAGGCATAGGAAAATGCTTCACAAACATCTGGTTAAAGTGTAAAATATTTCCACCTGGCTATAAAGCAAGTCATGTTCCTGGGCTGAAGAAACTGAAAGGAGGCTAGTCGCTAGGGAGAGGAAGCAGGGCATTGCTACGTAACATCATTAACTGGAGGGACACTTAGCATATTAGCCTTTTATATACCGGTATATAGATCCTTGCCCAAGGATATGTTTTACTGATTTTAGAGAGGGGAGAGAAGGAGAGGGAGAGAGAAAGAGATAGAGGAAAGAGAAACATGGATCAGTTGCCTTCCACACCCAACCTACTAGGGATCAAATCCACAACCCAGGTACATGCCCTGATTGGGAATCGAACCCGCAACCTTTTGGTGCACAAAACTATGCCCCAACAAAAAGCCACACCAGCCAGAGCTGCATGTATTTTTCTCAGAATTGTAATATTCCCTTTGAAGCATGGGCAAGCATAGCCAAGCGCCTGTCTTATCAAGCTAAGAAATACCTTGGTTGGTATAGGAGACAAATTGCTAAATCTGTATTGCAATATTTATTTATTTATTTGTTTGTTTTAAAATATATTTTATTGATATTTTACAGAGAGGAAGGGAGACAGATAGAGAGTTAGAAACATCGGTGAGAGAGAAACATCGATCCACTGCCTCCTGCACATCTCCTACTGGGGATATGCTCGCAACCCAGGTACATGCCCTTGACCGGAATCGAACCTGGGACCTTTCAGTCCGCAGGCCGACGCTCTATCCACAGAGCCAAACCAGTTTCGGCTGCAAGATTTATTTTTGAAATAACTTCATACAGAGAGTCCTTTTTAAGGCTTCAAACTAGAATGGAATAATCATGAGAAATATGTTGTCTTGGTTTGTTTGTTTTTTTCTATTTATATGAACCTTAGGTCAATCATTTTAAAATAAAATTTAAATATTAAAATATAAGGTGAAAGAATGTTTACTTATGAAAATATATTTACTTTGTTCTATCATAACATCAGTCTCTCTTACCATAAACACACCATTCACACATTAGCCACTGTCTCTCTCAGGACCTACTGTTGTTCAATATCAGCACAGAAGGCAAGAACATTCACCTTCATTAATTCAAATGGTTAGTGGTAATTATCCAATAATTTGCTCTTCCAAGTGTACTAGTTGGATATATACATTCCTTGGGATAGTATAAAAGTAACCTAATCTGAGTTTGGGTTAGTTTATCTACACTAATAAAAGACAAACATGCAAATTGACCACATCGTCACTATGCCTTAAGCCACACCCACCATCCAATCAGAGCGACTATATGCAAATTAATCCAACCAAGATGGTGGCCGGTAGCCATGGAGCTGGAACGAGCAGGAGGCTTGGTTGCCCCAGTGATGGAGGAAGCAAAGCTTCCCGCCTGCCACGGCTGGCTCTGAACTCCACTCAAGGCAACAAAGTTTCAATTATAGAAGATAAATAAACCCCAGATACCTGCTTACAGCCGGCTGTAGCCATGGAGCTGGAGCAAGGAGGCTTGGGTTGCCCCTGGCAATGGAGGAAGTCAAGCTTCCCACCTGCCCTGGCTGGCTCTGAGCTCCACTCAAGGCTACAGAGTTTCAATTATAGAAGGTAAATAAATCCCAGAATTAAAAAAAAAAGAAAAGAAAAAAAGGAGAGGCTGGGAGCTTCTGTTGCTGGGGGGCTTGGCAAGCCTGAAAACTGCCCTCAGCCCCTCACCCAGACTGGCCAGGCACCCCAGTGGGGACCCCCCACCCTAAAGGGGGTGTGGCCAGCCTGCAAACAGCCACCAGCCCCTCACCCAGGCTGGCCAGGCACCCCAGTGGGGACCCCCAACCTGAAGGGGTGTGACCATCCTGCAAACAGCCACCAGCCCCTCACCCAGGCTGGCCAGGCACCCCAGTGGGACCCCCACCCTGATCTGGGACACCCTTCAGGGCAAACCAGCCGGCCCCCACCCGGGCACCAGGCCTCTATCCTATATAATAAAAGGGTAATATGCAAAGTGACCCTAAAAGCAGAACGACTGGGAATGACTGGTCACTATGACACACACTGACCACCAGGGGGCAGATGCTCAATGCAGGAGCTGCCCCCTGGTGGCCAGTGCGCTCCCACAGGGGGAGCTCTGCTCAGCCACAAGCCAGGCTGATGGCTGCCAGCACAGCGATGGTGGTGGGAGCCTCTCCCGCCTCCTTAGCAGCACTAAGGATGTCCGACTGCAGCTTAGGTCTGCTCCCTGCTGGTAAGTGGACATCCCCTGAGGGCTGCTGGGATGCCAGAGCGATGTCTGACTGCCAGCTTGGGCCTGATCCCCCAGGGAGCGGGCCTAAGCCAGCAGGTGGACATCCCCCAAGGGGTC